TCCAAAATATTACTATCATAGATTATTGTTAAATCATATTGGTCTATTTTAGCTATTTTTTAACCACCCCCCTTTCGCTACATGGTCTAACGTGATTTATTCTTGGACCCCTCCCGCTTACAATAAACAGTCGACAACGTTTTTAAAACGAAATTTTCATAGTCAATTCTTCTGAGACTGGACCTTTTTAGGAACAACTAGTCATTATGCTATTAACATTTTGATCAGTAACTATTAATATTCTGGATTCTTTAATGACTCCGCTATATCTCTTCGGAAAATGGCTCTCTGCCAAATTATATGAAATTTTTTTGGATTCTGGTGGTTTTCGATGTATAGATCAAAAGTCTCAATGGGCACTAAGCTGTAAAAACTCGACTTTTTGAGACACAGTCCCTTAAAGTCGAATCCGAAGTTTCGAAGACTGCCAGTTTCCGTAAGGATCTAGCGGGGTCCTTTGTAAAGTTAATGCTGCAGCACTGACTTTAGTAGTCATTGGAATTCTTACTTAACACGGACGATTTAAAGCAGATTTGTAATATTTTTTATGTTTGCCTCTGTAAGTCAGAAGGGAATCCGTCTGATTTTTTTGATCCACTAAATAAACACTTTTATTTCTTGTTAATAATAAGAAACCACATTGCCGTATGGTTCAGAATATCCTTTTACTACTTACTGTTTACGTACAGCCCCTAATGTAAGATGTAACGAAAAAACAAAATCTTTTTTTTCTTTTTCTAATTAGTGGATTAATATCCTTAGTAAGGCTTAGATATTTCTAATGTTCCATAGCATACACGAAGTTATATCTTACCAAAGGAACAAGTCCCGACTTGACAAACTTTGCTTTTACGTGAGCGAAATACGTACGCAGTATTCACTTTATAGTTTTATATCTTGCTTTTATCGGTTTGATAATAATTTATCGAAACTGCATATGGGGCGTGCTGAAGAGAACTAATAAGTTTTAAATCGCGATCCACATTCGATAGTTTTTGTAAACTGTTCACTAAGAACTTATTGTTCTTTATTGTTCATGTTTAATCGGCTCCAGATTAACGACAATTTAAACAATTATCACGATAGAATAAGAAAAAAGGTTCCCTTTTTTAACATAAAATCTAACGTATGTGTAGGTATCTATTTGGAAATACAAAATTACCTATTACGTACTTTGTTTTGAGAACCTTCAGCTTGTGACTTTGCCTGAAATTACTTCCAACTGTTTTCCAAAGTATTGTACCAGTCCAGCAGAACATTATGATATTTGTGACCAGTACAAAAGTTATTGGCATGTAAAAATAGATCCAGCTTGCCTTTTCACCTATTAAAAAGTATCATTATAATATTGTAAGTACTTCAATAAATTAGGGTAACTTTCAGAAGCTCTTGTAAAAAAAAACTAGTAGAACGTGCACTCGTTAAAAATTATTTGTAACTATTATTAGGCATCAACATCATTATCATTATAAGGTTTTCAGCGTTAAACAAATTATTTTGTTTTCAATTAAAATGCATGTTATATGTATAGTAGTGTTGTTGAGGTTTAATTGGAATTTTTGATTAAAAAACACCAATCTTTCGATGTTGTCGGAGGAAATGTTTACCTTATTGGTACATGTAAAGTGCTTTTATATACCAGGGATAAGATAAGACCAGTAGGTGTTGTGCAACAAAAGCTACCTATGCACTATTGGCAGCGGTAGACATCCGTCCAAATTTGGACGGGTTCAACTAGTCTAAACTTGATGTGATTTTTATCGAAAGCTCACCTGACAACCAGCATGAGTTGGTTCCTATGCCAGGTTTAAGATGTTCTCCAGGCACAGTATGGGAAATTATTGCTCCTGTAAGGAATGTTAGGGGAATACCATAACCATAAGCTATAGAAATCCAGTACAGATACTTAGGACTTGAAGGTGTGGTAGGGCGTCTGAAAATTATTCAGAAAATTAATTTCTTTCTGATAGTTGTACGGCAACGTTTTGAATTAAAGCAAACTTACACTGTATTTCTCCATACATGAAAACAGGTCACATTTAGCCACGCGAATGCCGATAGGAAAAAGAAATATATGTTAAAACCTAGTATTTCGCACGCTGGAAAGTCAAAACGTCCGAGTTGCACAGTTGCAAGAACTGCAAAAGCCATAGTTAAATTTGCTACGGCATGCATTGTACATTTTCCCTACAATTGTACAATTATTTGATTATTTTCTAATTGTTATTGCAATATCTATTAATGTGAAAATTAATTTAATTTTTATTCACTATGAATTACCTTAAAATAAATTAGGAAAAATAGTTGATACTGTCACACCCTCGCCGGGAATCGAACCAGGGACCTTTAACTACACACCAATGCTTTGAGCACTAAGCTACGAGAGGTGACAGCAGCGATCAGGATGAAACGTATTTATCAGGTTACAGATTGTGTGATAAAATCCCGGATTCAATTCTCGGTGAGGGCGTGACAATTTTTCCTCATTCTTTTGAGATAATTTGTAGCTAATTTGTAATTAAATTGATTAATATTATCTAAACATTAACCACTGTTAAAAATTTCTTAAAGTTTTTCATGTTATTGCAATAATGACAGGTAGGCTGTGCGAATAGTGCTCGAGTCGAATAGTACTACACGAATTATCTAAAAGTATTGAATTATTTGAAAAGCTATCGTATACTTCGAAAATATCGAATAAAATTAATTTTTCTGGACAATAATGTTAATATTGGTTTTCTATTGAGCCCCCCTCCCCCCTTCCAATAGAACAGGAAATACTTAATGTGCCTACGGGACTTTATTTCATTAAAATATTGATTACATTATCAGAGTTTACCTTTTCTCTATGGATAAAATGGAAAATAGGGTAGTTGCACTTGGCTCATTGTAGATCATAAATACTATTTTATTAACTTTAATTTTGAAATGTTTCATAAAGGCATCGAAATGTAAATAATTAAAGACAAAACACTAGCAAATTCAGATTAGTCCCACTTTGCATACAATTAATCTCATCAAAAGTTGCAATTTAGTCCAACTTGCACCGCAATCGTAAATTCTCCAAAATATTACTATCATAGATTATTGTTAAATTTTGAACAATACCACTAATTTCTTCTGTAAATATAATTGCTTTGTAACAATGGTTGAGTTCTTCGTTTTTGACAGTGTTGGTCCATCGTGCCTGATCTTTTCTTTTGGCAACGTTTTCAGAATCTCATTCTCATCTTTCATTTAAAATATCCAAATCCTCACTATTTTCACTATTTGAATACGCTGACTTTGAAGAAAAAGGGTTTTTATTTTTATTATTCCTATACTTGCCGTCTACTGTCACACCCCTTGGTGCTTATAACCCGAAACGGAAAAACAACATCGGTTTTGATTATTAATTATTAGCATAATTCCTACTGTTTTGATTCCACATTCTTTTTTTGTTTTTTCAGCCTAGGGTATGATTTATGAATTTTATCGATTTGTTTTTGTTTAAGATTTTCATTATTGAGCTAATTCGGACAGTGTTTCAATTCCACATTTTTGATATCTCTTCAATTTAGGGTATAATTTTTATAATTTTATCAATTTGTTTTTGCTTAAGATTTCCATTATTGGGGTAATTCGGACATTGTTTTGATTCCACATTCCAGATATTTCTACAATTTAGGGTATGATTTTTGAATTTTGTCGATTTACTTTTGTTTAAAATTTTCATTCATTATTGGGACTTCCACATTTCTATTATTTCTTCAACCTAGGCTATGCATTTTTGAATATTATCGACTTACTTAATAATACAATAACTGTATATTACAAAATTAAAAGAATTTATGAATTTTATTCCAAAAAAAATGAGAATATTACTATTCCATCCGCATGGAATAATTTGAAATTTTGCAATATTCGCACACTCCTAATAACGACAAGGTGAATTAGCCTGTAGATACATTAACGTAAAAAATATGAATTATATGTTTATACCTGTAGGTCTCTTAAAATTGGCACAAGAAAGTATACAATAAGGACTAATATCATGAATATAATAGATAAAATTGCACAGCCACCCCTCAATTCCCAGAAGGGCTCATTGCTTTCGTCGAAACATATTAATGCAACATTTTCATCCGTATCGTTTAGATTATCTAGGCAGTAACTACAATACAAAAAATAATTAGATTTTTTTTTACGCATCAGTTATTTGTTTATTATTATCGAAAATAATTGCAAACCTTCCGTGTTCTATTGTAAATTCTGAGTGGTTGGGGTTTTCTTCGATAACTAAATTTTCGTGAGAATCTAATGAGAATGTAGTAACTCCTCTTTTCTTTTTGTAGAGATACTTATTGCAGTCTAGAAACGGCTTCGAACCGTCGCTGCATCGCCTAGTTCTCATAACTAAGTGGGCATCATCTTTACAACATTTATTGCTTAAATCTGCCGATACGCCCAGTATCATAATACTTAACAATATAAGTAATTTCTTGATATGTGCCATTTTTTTGTTACTGGTTTTCACGTTAGCTAACATTCTTTCTGAAAATGAAAGAAATATTTTTTCTAATTTGGTTTATTAAATAAAAATACTTGCGTAGGTTTCAAAATAATCGATAGAGAAACTTGCACAAATATTTTTATTTCTCCTTTTTGTTAATGAATCTCAAAATAAATTGTAATTTCCACAGAAGTCACTTCTATATTCGCGAACGGTTAATTTGGAAATTCGAAAAAGGTTGTTAAAGGTGTATGTTTGGAGCGCGGCGTTGTATGGGTGCGAAACATAGACAATAGGCGCGGTGGAAAAGAAAAGGTTAGAAGCGGTCGAAATGTGGTGTTATAAGCGGATAATGAGGATAACGTGGATAAGAAAGGTTAGAAATGAAGAGGTATTAGAAAGAATAGGAGAACAGAGGACTCTATAAAAAATAGGCGAGATAGGTTGGTAGGACACCTTCTCAGGCATGAAGGTCTAGTCAGAGACATATTAGAGGCAGAAGCAGGAGTTAGG